GCGACTGCCTTTGACTCGGGTCATGATCCTGGGACTAGTCCCGCATCGGGCTCCCTGCTCAGCAGGGAGTCTGCTTCTCCCTCTGACCCTCCCCCCTCTCATGCTCTCTCTATCTCATTCTCTCTCTCAAATAAATAAATAAAATCTTAAAAAAAAATAAAATAAAATGGTGAATTAACATCCTTTTTTTATGTTTGGGGAGTTATTTTAACCATAATGTATTTTTCATAGGAATAATATGTTAAAGTATTTACACTCCTTGAATAGGTAATGACTGAGTAGTAGTGGAGAAGGCAAAGGGTGGTAGGGACTTTAAATACTAGAGATAACCCACCTGTTCAAATGTGTGAAAGTGAATTATAAATATTTAGTACAGTCTCAAGTGCACAACAGGACTGTGTAAGTTACACTGATGAAACTTCCTTCAGTAGAAGTTGAAATTTAACAACGGAGCACATGCATATTTTTCTAATTATTATTATTTGATTTGGGTGAGATTATGAATTCCCAGTAAACAGAGGCCTGTAGTAATTTGAACCCAAAAGTTCTCAGATCCACTCTTAGGGAATGCACTTAAATCAGGACACATCTGGGGAAATAACTTCCACTTCTTTAATATTTATAATACCAACGGAAGAACAAATAGGAACAATTTTCTTTTCCTTCTTTCTTTTTTTGAAAAGAGAATTTAATCACTCCTTGAGCTACAAAGTTACCTTTTCTATATTTAAGTAGAATAGTTAAAGCATACATAATACAGACCCATTCTTATAAATCCTTGAGTCCAGATTTGTTAATGGAATTACGACTTTTTTGGATTTCAGAAAGATAATACAGTGCATGTACTGTTTATTATGTAAAATCCATTGTTTTGCAGCACAATGTTTGAATAGTTTTACTACGTGGGAGAAATAAAGACTGTAAAGAACCTAACGTCAATTCAGGTCAAGTTTTGCTCCCAGTTAAGTGTTGGGAGCCAAGCTTACCACAAAACTTGTAGATAAGGGGTTGTAATTTCTTTGTAACCTTCACTTTGTGATCTACTACTTTAATTTAGCATCTAATGGTGTAAATATTTCATATGTGGCAGTTATATCAAAATAATTATTGTTCGATGACATATAATGTTATATTAGTGTGCCAAAATTTATTAAATCATTCCCCTAATGATAAATGGAAAAATGGACTTCCAAATCTTGCTATCATAGGTAGTACTGAGTAAAATATCTTTTTGTTTGTAACATTTTGTTTATGTTGAATAAATTCCTTAGAATGGGTAAAAGTTCATGAAAAGTTTTCACCCATACTACCCATAACTTTCTAAAAAGTTTGAATTTGCAAGGTCACTAGAATGAGTATACCAGCCTCTCTCTATACCCTTAGAAACAATGGGTTGGTTATAAGCATGTACTTTTTGAAAGAGGAAAGGGGGAGCTTGCTGCTTTAGACAGTGTGCTCATGTTAAGGTGACTTTAACTTTCATTTATTTCGCCATTAACTAAGATAAACAGCAGTACTAATTGAAATAGGTTTTTGTGTAGTTGAACTTTTATTGTCAATTTGGATATGGAACCTGTCATTTTCTGTGCTACACAGAGCCCCCTTGCTCTGGGCTGTCTGAAATGAGAAGCATCGGGGATCACAGTGTGGAGCCGATCAGAGTTTGCACCTTAGTTTATTACAGACACATCTACAAAACACATCTTCTCTGCTCTCGGCTTCATTTATTTTCATCATAATTTCACACTGTCGGGTAGGAGAGAGTCACTAGAACCTTTGTGGCAGTGAGTAGTAAGCATCTTAGAAATGTTTAACCTCTTTGCCTTACTACTTCTTCTGAGATCACACAGGGCACACACAGCTATGCTCGAGGCTGTTTATCACAACATGATTTATTTTTTAAAATGTTAAAAATGTTTACTAAAAAAGTCAAATATTCAACATTAGATCAGCGGTTTTTAACTTTTTACATAATAAATACTAAGAATTATTTTGACCATTAAATTTACTTAACAGTTATTTAAGTGGAAAAATCAGGACACAGACTTGTCTGTATTATTTCAACAGTGTTAAATATACAAAAAGTGATCGGAGGAAGATGTCTTCAGATGTTAACTGTGACCCTCCCTGAGTGGTGGGGGTGATGGCTATTGCCTCTTTCCTCCTTTGTTCCTTTTACTAGTTACCAGTTTCCACAGTGAATTTATATTAAATCTAAAAATCAAGGAAAAAGCCAATAAATGCAATATACAACACTACCAGTCAGAAAGCACCTTTTTTTTTAGAAATTTGCTAAATTTCATTTAAGGTATCTGACATTACGTTAAGTATCTAATATACACGTTACTGAAAGGAAAACAGTTTTGTTAGACTCATACATAAACAGAGTGACTATCTCTTACCATATTTGTCCAAGAGACTCTACTTCAGTATAACAGAATCGTTATTATTTGTTTGAATTTTACTTTTTAAATACTTTTGGGTTGTACAAACAGTTCTATAAGTAAATAATTAGGATTTATAGATTAAGCCCAGGTTCCCTTTGGCCTGTAGATCTCGGTCAAAACACAAAAATACTAATTTTTTCAGCAAAATTCATGCCAAAATGCAAAAAATATCCATACACGTTTGCCCAGATAATCTCTTCATTAATCCAAAATGAATTCCTTGAAGATTTTTTCCCATCTTGTAAAAATTATCTTTAGGTGCTGTAAATACTCTATAAGGTCCAGAAAAAAGCAAAACCATCTATCACTGCTTCCAATCGTGAGGAAATCAGCCAGGCACTCCCCTCAGGCACCTCAGTACACCTGTGTACTTCTCCATGCTCAAAGTGTGTCCCACACACCCTATAAAGGGAGTCTTCAAGTCAGCACTCTTCATAATGGTACTAAGCTGTTCTTCGCTTCTTCCCTGTGTTCACACTGGCCCCGAGGGTACAGAGAGAACAGCAGTGGCTGTGAACAGCCAGCACCTTAGCACAGGTCCAGGCATTGCCCCCCACCCCCCAAAGTTGTAGCTTCACCACCATGCACTTGTGGTTGTCATTTCTCACACATACACCCCCCACTGTCACTTAAGATTATCCTTAATCAAGCATTAAAAATTGTTTTAAATCCCGACCTTTGAGTCCACATGTCTTTCCTGTACTGTGTGATGGGCTGGGAGGCACATGGAAACGCCCCTGCAGCGTACTGACTCAGGATGAAAAGCGCTTTTGCAACTGGTCGGATTGTGAGCTGAATCATGGAACACCGTTTTTACTCGAGAAACCAACCAACTTATTCAGACTTGGGCATTGGACAGACAAGTGAAGTTAGCCTATCACTTCAAGGAAAATACGGGAGAGTATTTGTTGCCATTGGTAAAGCTTGAGCTTTGAAGTGGAAATCAAAATTTTAGGAGAACTTGTTTTGGCCCACCACTGTGAGCTTGTCAGACTTCCGTGAGAGGTGAAAGAGACACTCATGACTATGATTTTCTTACTGTGGTGTAGTGAAACATGCCAGCATTTGGAAGCTCTGCATTACTCAGTCACCCACCATTGTTCCTATGACTGGTGCCTGGTGTTACAATAGTGGTCGGGTAAAAGATCCATTCTAAGTACAGGGTAAACCAGTGAGCTAACTTTTTTAAAACTACCACTTGTCAAGTTTTGGTATAGTAGCAAAAATATCTAAAGTTGTCTGAAAATATTTTATTAAAATGCTCCCTTTCCAACTACATTTTTGTGAAAGGCCAGATTTTCTGTATATACTCAGCCAGGACAACGTATAGTAGCAGCTCAAATGCAGAAGCAAATGAGTATCTCACTGTCTTTTATCGAGCTATACTAAAGTGTGTTAACATGTAATGGGTTTATTACTGATATTTTTAAATGAATTTTTAAATAAAATATTTTTTAAATTTCTTAGTTTTACTTTTTAATATGGTAAATACTAATAGCTGTAACCCACATAAACGAGGTTTGTTTGGGATCCTCAAGAATCTTAAGATGTGTGAAGGGATTCTGAGACCAAAATAAATTGAGAAACTTCTGTAAGGTCTGTGACCCAGTGTGGTCCTGGAAGTCACCTGAACTGCAGAAAGTACTGGTCAGTTGCGCCCCCGCCCCCCAGTGCCCCAGCCTCAGATCAGAACCTGTAGTCAACCAAGATCTTCAGGTGATTTCTCCTACACATTAAAGAAACACTGCCTTCAGGAAATTACGGAAGCAGCCACGGGCGGGGCTGGGGCGGGGCGGGGGGGGGGGGTACTTTGCTATGGTAATAGAAATCCAGCAGGAACAGAAAACACAGGGACAGCATCCTGAGAGAAAGACAGAGCCCTTCTTGCCCCAAATGGCTCCCCTCTTCTCTGTCCGTCCTCTGTTTAAGTATTTCCTCTTAGGAGTATATTCTAGATATTCGAAACTGACTGGAGGTTTAATAGAAATCTGGGCTCAGAGAGAGTAGGCTGGTCACTCAGGAAAAGACCTAAGGGAGACATGAAGCTTGTGTTATCCAGAATCTTCTGGAGCAAGGCGTGTCTGTCCAGGCAGGTGCCTGTTACTGATTTTACAGTGTCCTCACCTCATCTCTGGTTTGCTCTTGTCACTAATGATAACCACCATTGGTATACACTTAAGGTAGGGAAATGTAGACAAAAAGAAGCCCCCTTAAACTGTATGTTTATCTCAAAAGCAATTTTCACCTTTTAATTACATCTTCCCTTTGGATACCTAGATTGTTCTATCACTAAGCGTCCATGTAATCCTGTCCACGCAGACGGTCACTGGGGCACCGCCTCTGGAAAGCACTTGTGAAATTACCCAGCCTGTAGCATGGGGCAGAAGCAGACACCGTATACGTTCTTAGTGGGGTCAGTGGTCTGGTCTGAAATTTGTGACTAAACCAACTGTGTTTAGATTAAATGTACAACCAGACAGTTTAATGTAAACTGTTGTAACAGAATCTTCCATTTCTAAGCCCTAATAACTATTTGTTTTCTTCTTGTTTTAGGGTGAATCTGTAAAATATTTCCTGGATAACTTGGATAAACTTGGAGAAGCAGTAAGTTGTTATGTTTATCACCATTTGAAGGCAGTAGTCAGGATATTAGTGGGGAGGTTTAGAAAAATTATGTATTAAAATAGCTGTTTGCTTCTTCCTTTTTCCGAGTGGCAGTATTCCGACTCTTGCTGCTTCATTTTTTCTCCCTCTGTCATCCAGATCTCTGCCATTTCCCTGAGGAGTGCCCTGCCCACTAGTTCATGAACGTGAAACTGTTCAGAGAAAGAAGTTTATGTTTGAAAATGAGATTGCACATTATCTGTTCTAGTTCAGGGTCTTTCGTCGGGGTGGGGGGGGGGCTGTGTTTTTTTTTTTTTTGGTCAGCAGGAACAGAACACAGTGGGTTGATTGATTTCAAAACCTTTTAGCAAATGGTATTTTTCAGTTCAGAAAAGGCCTGCTGAAGAGACTCCACGAAGTAGGAGAAGGAGTCACCCTTGGAGGGAGAGTGGACGGTTTTCCTCTCGGCCGGCACTGTGGCTGGCTCTGGCTGCCTGGGCCTCTCGCAGGCACGGCAGCTGCTCTGTGTTCCGCGGGGTGGCCGGAGGCCAGAGACTGGAAGAAGGCTTGCTGTGCTCAGAAAATGTTTGAGTATCACTGCCCTAGAGTCATGTGTTACCTTCTGGACTTGCCGAAACATTATCTGCCGCCTCTTAAAGCGGATTTCTGTAATACATGTTAATATAATCGTACGGGTTCTTTGAGAGTCACTTTAAAAATAAAACCGAAAGAAAGCACAAAATGAAAAACCCGTTGCAAGTAGGAAAGTGGCGTACTGGTATGTCCAGGACATGTGAAAATGTACCTTCTTTTTGCAAGATAAATCTTACATTCTCTTATTTTGGATTTTGCTAAATTGTGCTTCTCTATAAGTCCTTAAGCCAGTGTGTTTTTTCGCTTGCCTCTTTCCTAGACACGTGTGTTCCAGAAGTTGGGATCTCCATATTAATGGATTTTTACTCACTCAGTCCACATCAGTGAAACTTTGTATTAAGACTTTATTTCATTGTCTCTTTTCCATCTGGTTAGACTGTGAGCCTTAAAAAAAAAGTTACATATAGGCCAAATGGAGAGAGCCCTAGTAAGAGTTATTTTATGTTTCCCATCCAAACAGGGCTGCCTTGACCTGCTCTTCTCAATTTGCCTTTTCAGATAAGCTTTCCTTGAGCACACCCTGCAAAGTAGGACCCTCCTCTTGTGTTCAGCATCAGCCCTTGCCTTTTTTCAAAGATCATTGCTCTTTCTGCGGTTGGCTTGTCTATTTATGTTTATTCGTCTTTTACCTCCCTCTTGACATCAGAGCAAGGACCTCATCTCTTGATTGTGAAGAATTGAGTTCTTGAGGCCTAGTGACAATGCCTGGCACACAGTAGGCACTCAACAAATAGGGAATGAATGACTCTAGGCCAACTCTAGTCAATCTGTACTAGCTGCTTAGAGTCTTACGTTGAGAACAATTCTGAGGCCACATCTGGAATAAAATGAAGAGTGCTGTGATCAGTAGGTGGGTGTAAAGGAGGGAAGAATAAATCTGGCTGTGCCACAGGTGGGCCATTCCTTCTGTGCACGTCAGACAAGTCCCGGGATTGCATTTGCTTCTCTGTCTCTGACTGAAGTCCCAGGGCCACTGAAGCCCTGCTGTGTGCCCAGCCCCATGTGGAATAGCACAGGGGTCAACGACATGCACTCTGCAGCCAGACCACCTGGGTCCTGAGCCCTGTTCCCTCACAGTCCGGTTCTGTGTGACCACAGGCATCTCTGCACCTTAATTTCTTCACATCATGGGCATAGTAAGAGAGCTCATAGGGTTATGGGATGATTACATGAAATAAACCCCATGTCTTAGTCTGCTCAGGCTGCCGTGACAAAACACCACAGACTGGGTGGCTTCAACAAGTAGACATTTACTTCTCATGGTTCCGGTGGCTAGAAGTCTAAGATGAAGGTGCTAGTGTGGTCATTTTCTGGGGAGCACTTTCCTCCTGGCTTGCAGACAGTGGCCTTCTCTCTGGGGCTTCTTCACGCGGCTCTTGCTCAGCGCATACACATGGAAAGACAGACATCTCGTACTCTTCTTAGAAGATCACCAAGGTTGTCTGATTAGGACCCTACCCTGTGCCCTCATTTCCCCTTAGTTATTATGTCCTATAAAAAAGCCCTGACCCAAAATACAGGCACTTTGGGGTTAGGGCTCCAGCATATGAATTTTGGGGGGACGGAGTTCAGTCCATAGCACTCAGTAAGGTATTCAGAATAGTGCCTTGCATGTAGTAGTAAAGGCTCATTAGCTGTTTTGTTCCTTGATCCCTGTTTTTAAGGAACTCATTCTAGTCAGAGACAAAATTATAACATACATAAAACAAGCAGAGGACAATTAAATGATACTCATTGTGAAGACAGTATTAGTCCACAGAATGGAGAGTAATGTTCCGGCCAGGGAAGTTGGAGCTAGCCCAGAAGAATAAGGGAATCTGAACTGTCTGAAGGGGGGATGGAGTTAGATACATGTAAAGAGGAGATGGGCCCACCGAGGTGGGGGGCAGCTGGATGTGTTTAATGTCAGGAGGCACATCCATCTGACAAAGGACCTGTGATGTTCTTGGCTCTGACTTATATAAACAGATTTCTAGAAGGCAGTAGCTTCGGTCTGGATGCGTTGTTCATTGTAGTTGCACAGTTGTGCAAGTGAATGGTCCTGTAATGGTACCAAGATGTGCAGCTTTGGGCAGGTCTTGAAGCTAGGCTCTGTGGCAAGCTGGACAGCATAGAGCAGAGTCTGCCGGTTCCAGAAAACAAGGAGTAACGTGGGTCATGAAAGCCAGTCAGCAAAGTTCGGATCGGAGGCAGTGAGGAAGCTCCCCGTAAGTTCTGAGGTTATGATGTAGGAGTGGGGCGAGGGGGGGCGGCCGGCGGGAGACACGGCCGCACAGCTAGACCGCGTGGCGTGCACACTATGCCCGGCCTGGTTCCTGAGCACTTCCCCTGTTGAACTCATTTGGCCCTCACATCCCCCTTGTGAATATTATTGTCTGTATTTCACAGATGAGGAAGTGGAGACACAGCAGGATTAAGTGACTTGGCCAGGGTCACACAGCTAGTCTGTGAAGCGCTGGCTCTGGACGTCACAGTTCTCGAATCACTGCTGTTCCGCCAGACCAGTTAGCGCTTGATTACATTGTCCTGGTTTGGGGGCTTCATAGGAATTAGCCTTCAGCTTCCTAACCAGACTGTGAGCCTCTAAGTGAGGCAGTTGGAACTTGAAATTTTTATGGAATTAGAGAATTAAAAAACAACTCAGGGCTGGCTTGTTTCTGCGGCAGCTCGTACATGTGTGTGTGGCGTTTCTGGAAAGCACTTGGGCTCTAAGTGTCCAGGGCCATCAAAATGTTCAGAATCTTTGACCTCACGATCTTATTCCTGGTTATTTGGTCTCAGGAAGTTGTCCAAAAAGGGGGGCGGGGGGAGAGTATGTGTGTGAGAATTTTAGTTGCAGAATTTTTATTAAAGTAAAAAATTGGAAACCTTAGTGAACACTAGTCGGGGAATGTTTATGTAAATTACAGTACGTTCATTCATTTGGCATATTTATACTTCTGTGAAGTGAAATACAACTATATCAGCACGTGTAACAGTTCGTGATGAAATGATAAGCAAAAAAGTAGGGGCGAGCTAAAAATTGTGTGGATGTGCTGATGATAGGTCAAGTAGTTAAGTATGTGAACAAACGCTAAAAGGAAGCCTAGAAACACTAACATGTTTTGTGAAGCCCTAACGTTATTTACTAACTGGTTGTGGATTTCAGGTAACTGAGAACTGCCTACTTTTTCTTTTTTATTCTTAACTCCATTGCACCATTTTGAGGAGATAAATGATCATGTTGTGAAATTTCAAAATTATATCACGCTATTTGGAAAAGTATAAAATACAGCATCATAACCATCAGCATTGTTTTTAAAACCTTGCCTTGATTTAAAAAAAAAATTTTTGACCTTGACGATGAGCATTAAAAAGTTCTCATGTTCAGTATTGCCAAAGAGCTAAGTCAAAAGGATCTGGAAAAACACTAGCCTGAGAAGAAAGAACCAGTTATACTGCATCCGGAAGTCCGCTGTCCGGGGTAGCCGGTGACTCGTGAGACGCAGCTTCTGTCTGTCCAGGGTCTCGGAGCTGACTGGTCCCGTTCCCAGAGAGGGGGTCTTTGCGTAAGCTCTCCCTCTGAGGCAGGTTGGCCCGCTGTGGTCACCTTCACTTCACGGGCCGAGGCGCTGACAGAGTGACTACTTGTGTCAGAGGTGAGAAGGCGGGAGCACAGCTGTTGGGCTGGACGCTGGAAGGACACCTGGGAGGTGCCCCGAAGTAAAGTCAGCGTGCTGGCTGCAGTCCCAGCAGCATTGGCCACGCGGGTGGTATGGCCACGGTGATGATGTGGAGGGACTATTGCGCGAGTTCCTAGTTGCGCAGGTGGGGCAAGGAAAGGAGCGTTTAGAATGAGCTAGAGAGAGGTAGGTGGAACCTTGCACTGGGAGCTGACCCTCAGCAATCAGCCTTTCAGCCCTCCTGCCCTTTCATGGCAAGGCAGGGAGCAGGTGGTCGAGTGAGGAGTAGGGTCTCTGGCCAGAGCAGAGGGTGGGTCCTTGAGGAGTGACAGGAAAGGTAGATACATGGCGGTGGGCGGGACGAGGGGACACCTGGTAGGTAAGACTTCAGTCTGCAGATACTGCAGGAGTAAAAAACATAACATGTTGAACCAGTCTTCCTACCCTAACATTTTCTTCTATCTTGGCGTTTTGTAATGAGAATAATAGTACCGATGCTTTAATGCAGCCAGGAGAAGTCATTAAAAAGATAAGTTTGTGGGGTGCCTGGGTGGCACTGTCAGTTAAGTGTCTGACCTCTGCTCGGATCATGATCTCTGATCTCTGGTTCCTGGGATCAAGCCCTGTTCACGTCTGTCTGCTTCTTCTGGGCTCTCTGCTCAGCGGGGAGTCTCCTTGCCCTCTCCCCTTCCCCCTGCTCATGCTGGCGTGATCTCTCTCAAATAAATAAAATCTTTTTAAAAAATAAATAAAAAGATAAGTTTGTTTGCATATCCATTCACTCAACCAGCTAGTTCATTTGCAACTTTACTTACTTCTGGGTTACCAAGTGTAAAGCGGTTTTTTTTTCTTTTCCAGGATTACATTCCATCACAACAAGATATTCTGCTTGCCAGGAGACCCACCAAAGGCATTCATGAGTACGACTTTGAAATTAAAAATGTTCCTTTCAAAATGGTTGATGTGGGTGGTCAAAGATCAGAGAGAAAACGATGGTTTGAATGCTTCGACAGTGTGACGTCAATACTTTTCCTTGTTTCGTCAAGTGAGTTTGACCAGGTGCTCATGGAAGACCGACTGACCAATCGCCTTACAGAATCTCTGAACATTTTTGAAACAATCGTCAATAACCGGGTTTTCAGCAATGTCTCCATTATTCTCTTCTTAAACAAGACAGATTTGCTTGAGGAGAAAGTGCAAATTGTGAGCATCAAAGACTATTTCTTAGAATTTGAAGGGGATCCCCACTGCTTAAGAGACGTCCAAAAATTCCTGGTGGAATGTTTCCGGAACAAACGCCGGGACCAGCAGCAGAAGCCTTTGTACCACCACTTCACCACTGCTATCAACACGGAGAACATCCGCCTCGTTTTCCGCGACGTGAAGGATACCATTCTTCACGACAACCTCAAGCAGCTCATGCTACAGTGATGTACAAAAGACTGGCCGTTTTAATACCTTTTGTCCTTTTGATTGTTTTCTGTTTGTTTTGTTTTTTAAAATAGCAGTTTACAACAGGAATTAGAAAAATCTTGATTCTAAGTTTAACTTCTTGGAAATCTTAGTCTTCCTCCTGCCGACTTTGGTTTGTGGCCGAAAGCTGCTGAATAACGCATCGCTGATACCTGTTGACGTTCAGCCTTTGATCTGTTTCACTGTGGCTTCCCTTTGAGGGGGTTGTAGTTTCCTGCCAAGCCTCTGACTAGGTAGAGTTCAGGCTTCAGCTTCTCCCACTTCTCAAACTGAATTCTGTAGTGCCAAGTATGGAAGGTGTCCTCGAGTCTTCGTTGGTATGAGGCTAAGGATATTCAGTTCTAAAACAAGCAAGATCCCTTTTATCTGCCTTGTGCACGGCCGCGACACTTGTCCTAGCTTTATGGTGACCTTGTTTGAAAGGGCTATTGGAAAAAAGTTTGATCTAAGGACTGGCATTCTGTAGCTTTACACAGATTTAGCCTTCGTGTTTTTTTAATTGCTTACATAGTGCCAGTTGTTTAGTTTTAAAATTTCTGTGGTTTCTGAAGGTAATGTTCTTAGTGTTTTACAGTTTACATAAGGATTCCTGGTCTGACGCTAATGGAGGTTCACAAATGGTACGGGGCAGAGGGACGGGGGCAAGAGACAAGCCAAGGCCCTACAAGAGTGTTTGATGCAAAATAATCAGTGGAATATAATGGGCCCTTTCATATTTAAGTCTCATGTAATAAATGTGCCATATGTGAAACATTCTGGCCATAGCAGCAACTGTAAAAATCGCAGGTCACTTGATAACAGAGCTTTCTGAATAAACATACCCTTTCCAGGCTGTGACGTGCTTTACGCTCAGACTTGCGCGCCCTGCCTCGGGGGACTCGGGTCCTGGCTGCGGAGAAGCACTGTTGTACATCACAGACGTCTTTCTTTCGTTCCCTTGTCTGTTCCCATCAACTCCAGCTGTGGCATTTCTGGGAGCTTTTGTTTAGTTGGAGCTTGCCAAGGGCAGTGTTTTCCTGTCAAACGACCCAAGAAGGCATTATTTGAGATTCCTGTTCATTTTTGGTGTGTCTCTGAAAGATACATGTACATGTTTATATCATTATTGCTTATGAAGTTCTGGCTTTATTGAGGTACATTTTGAATGTCTTGAGGATACTTCTACGAATAAGTAGTAATTTTTTTAGCTCACACCGGAAGATGATTACATTTGACCTCTCCTCACCACTTAGATGAGATGAGAGCGTACCCTTGAGGACAAATATGGTCATAGTGAACTCATCAGAGGGGCTGGTTTGCAGTACTGAGAATACTGCCTTCTGGGTTGGGTGTGGTGTGAGACCGGGACTGGAGAAGCAAATGCCCAGGGCTGGTGACAGTTGGGAAAATCGGACAGCTTTTCTCCTTTTCCTGAAAATTGTGATTAAGACTGTGATATCTGTCACTTTACTGTAGAGCTGTGTTCTCAGGTATTCTGTTGGCTAGAAAGTCCTTGAAAGATTGGTCAACATTACGGATCGCGCAGCCTTTCCAAGACCGTGGCTCTTGGTCTGTCTGCTGTCTAGTGTGAGAGTAGGGCTTTTCAAGGAGCTAACCAGGGATTGTTCTTAACCATTCCTGACTTTTCTTGCATTTGAAGTTCCACCATCATTTTATCCATAGTAACTTCCAATGTGTCCATGCCTTGGTCATCCTCGAGCTACAGACACGTAGCCCAGCATCATAATGCAAGTCTTCATAGTATATAGTTCATGCATGTTTGAATAGTTCTACATCCAGTGCTTCTTGCCAAAAAGAATATAGTGTTTAAATTCACAGAATTAGAATAACTTCAGGGCTAGTGGATATCTGAATACGCGCACAGTAACATTTGGACTTTTTGCTGGAGAGTCTACACGTAAATTGTGCAAATAGTTTAATTGAATGGCCCAAACCATTGAACTCCAGTGAAGGCTAAAGTAAGTTCCCTGTACAAAGGGGAAACTTAGTCTTCTTTAAGTTATATTTAAGATCTGTGATAGAAACCATAAATACTGCCTGACAAAGCAGCAATCACCAAGTTACCCCGTTTTGACTACCACCAAGAAATGTTAAAACACCAAATAGATACGGTATTATTTTTGGGTATTTGTGATTTTCTTTCCTGATGTTTGTGATGTCTCAGATGTCTCAACGTTCTTTTAAAATAAAATCTAGACTGTATTTTGAGGCAGCAGAGTACTTCTACTTAACGGCCGGCTTGTTTAGACAGTGGAAGTGTGAGTCTCAGTCTGAAGAATTTAACTCACATTTTTTATATAGACTGTACTTTAAAAGCATTTGAAGGAGTCTTAATACCTGTATTATGAAAACTAGATCCTTTTGAAATACCAGTATATGAAGAAGGAGATGAAATTTAGTGAGCCAAATTAAAAAGGTGCTCATTGCTTTCACTATGCCAATTTCCCCTGATCTCTAAAAAAGTGGTTTAAAGTTCTTTGGTCTGTTTGCTTTTTTAAGTCTTAATGATTATGATTTGGAACAAAATGTGCCTAATTCTCTATTACATTGTGTTCCTAAATCCAAATGTCTTCTCATTGAATTCTTAAGAAATGTCACAAAAGTGCCCTCATTGGCCTTGAAGAAATGTGTAATATACAGAGTTGCCTTATAAAACAAAGAACACCACAAATTTGGGCCTTGATTTTCATAGGGAAAAGGTTTTGCCAAGTGTTTTCTGAGGCTCCACATCATGTAAGGCCTGCCTCTGCCACTTAAATACTATTTTTTTTTTTTTTTAATAACCCGAATCGTTGCTTTCTGCCAAATGCCAGATGACGTGGACGTCTTCACTTCAGCATTACTGTCTGGCACAGGCACTTGGTATCTGGAGAGCGGCCACAGCTAGAGAAGGTGAGCAGGATGAACAAAGCTCACCCGTGCCTGTTTGGTTTTCTTTGAGGTTGCACCGGCGCGTCTTACACGGTGAAGATCCTCTGGTTAATCTCTCAAGTTGAGGTTGTTTAGGGAAATCCTTTCTCGGCTGGTGGCAGTGGTTGGTTTAAAGTAGAAGGAAGTAAGTGTATGTCAATACCGGAAATGATTAGAAGTATTGATTTAGATGCAACAGAAATCATGCGCCCTGTCATTTTTTTGTAAGAGAGAATGAGTAAATCTGAACTTCCAGTGTGTACCCAAGTACTTGTATTTATGCTTTTGATAAAAATGTATTTTCAGCCTTAGTACACATATCCGGTTATGCCTTATTTATGTGAAGAATGAAGTTACCAAGTCATGATCTGTTACGTTCTGAAACTCAAATCACCATTCGAGAAGGCCTCAAATTGGTGCTTTCATTATGTAATGATCCATTTAGACAAAACCCCAAACCAAGCCATTTGAAACAAGTTTCTCTCCATTGCAATTTGTAGCAATGTTACTTCTGTCTGTGTAATAAGAAGGCTAAAAAATCAGTGTTAACTCTTAATTTCTTACTTGAATCCATGAAATCATGCCTGTAAAGCTCAAACATTTGTAACAAACTCCCCAATAAATCTAGAGAAAGTCACTCTGTTACTTTTTTATTGCTTTTAGTTTAATTGAAGGAATCAAGCACAGAAAGTTTGCTCGTGTCTTTTTCAGTCAGAAGTTTGACTTCTCTTTCTGGGTTACTTTATGTCGCTTTCCCATCATTTCCACATGTTCGGTTCCATCCGTTGCTCATGCACGGGGTGTGCCGCTTGCCTGTAAGGACTGATTTTCTTTTATTGATGGGATGCAGGCTGGCCTTTCAGCCTAGTAAAGCATGAGGAACCGGGGCGGGGGAGGGGAGGTTGTACGAGAGTGGGTGTGTATGAGTCTCCACATTCCAAGTAAGGCAAATGTTATGGTAACATAGCCATTATCTTATGGTACGAGGTTAGGGCTTAATAACTTTATACTAGAAATTGAAGTTGACACCTGAACATTTTAAACAGGTTGGACTTTATGGGTTTTTCAAGTCCCATCAAGGCCATGTTAGCCTTAGGCTGGTGAGTGATTATTAACAGCATTTGAAGTACAGTGTATGTACCACTAGCATTCTTGTGTCTGTACGTGAATGTATAGCATGTAAGTGAATATGTTCATTCTTGTGGCATCCAGGTCTAACCGTCTGATTTCAAATGCCTGAGCTCATACGGAACAAAAAGAGTGAATGATGGGGCAGTATTTTTTGGCTTGATGGGAGGTTTGGGGACCTATCCAGATCTGCTGTTGATAAAAAAAAAATTTCCAGGTCAAAGTATGGTAGGACCCACTATGCATACATTTTCAGTCTGTGGATGTCGTGGTAGAAATATGCTACTTACTGGGTATCTGATTTGGATTTGTATTTAGAAAGCTTGTTCACGGTATTTCTTGCCACAATAAGTGATATATCTGTCCTCAGTTATTCCCATATGATGGTACCAAGGGGGAACAAAGAGGGGGCGGGTAAAGATTAACTCTTGGAAAGTATATGTAACAATGCAACAAACTATACCATTTACTCTCTTTACCTCTTACTTGAAAGCAGAATGGCAACATGTATTAAATGGCTTTTCTGTACCGCTCTACCTGAGAGCTCATTTACCACAAGAAGCCTTATCAAAAAGTGTATTTTGTAACAACCTCACAGATACTGTACCCAACAAAACATGATTTGTATTAGCTTTGTATAAAAGTATTTGTGGTTTAGGATTTTTTATACGTATTATATCTTTTTATAACTTTCCAGGAACTAAGAAGCACGTTATCTGATGTTGTACATTTTTTTTTTCTGTCAGTGCTTTAGTTCAGGATTGGCAATAAATTATTTCTAAAGGAGGTCTGAAAGTGGAAAGAATGGTTTGATATTACACCATGAGTTGCTAGTCATGAAGGCTTTTTACTTTTGTACATATTTTGCAAAAATTTTGCCTCTTGCTATTAATATTTGCTTTGTAAGAATTACTGACATTTAATAAACATTTATAAACTATTCTATACCACGATGTTATTTAAACCAACAGTTTGATAAATGTAAAGTGTAAAGCAGATAGTTAAGTTTGAAAAGCAAAGGCATGGTGATTTAAAGCACTGAAATCTCTCAACAGATCTCCAACAATATTTTGCCTTCTTATTAATCTATAAACTTGTCCTTACTAAAGATGGGGATGTGGACTTCATCCAAGGAAGCTCCCAGACGCTTAATGTGTTTGGCCATGGGAATGGGGGAAGGGCAGCCACTCCTTTTTCTCTCCCCTCCTAAGATTGCTTAAACCACACTAGGGTGTTTGGAGTCGTGGTTTATCCACCTGCGGGAGTAATGCTGTTAGGTCCATTGTGATCGAAATGGTGTTTTAAAAACAAACCCACATATTAACACTCATTTTTCTTGTTTGAATAAACTTTATTTTAGATTGTGATTTACAGAAAAAATTGCAAAGGTTATGAGTTCCCCAATACACCACACCCTTTAAATAGTTGCCCCAGTCATTACATCTTGCCTTACATTTGTCATAATGAACCAATACTGAGACTTTATTATTAACTAAAGCCCACTCTTCATTCCCATTTCCTTAGTTTTTCCCTCATGCGCCTTTCTGTTCCAGAATGCATCCGGGATACCAGGTTACATAGAATTGTCTTCTTCGTCTCCTCTTGGCTATTACGGGTTCCCAGACGTTGCTTGTTTTTGATGACCATGGCAGGTTTGAGAAGGAATACTGGCTGGGTATTTTGTAGATGGCCCCTCTGTTGGGATCTGCCTGCTGTGTTTGTAATGATTAGACTCAGGTTATGTGTTTGGGGGATGGCAGAGGCGAAGCACCATCCTCATCAGATCCTATCCGGCATACCACTCATCTTTACCCTTCACAACTTCAGCTAAATTAGAAGTTGTTAAATGACTTTGGGCATGTTCCTACCTTTGCTTAAGTGGCATATCTCGAAAACAGCATGTTCTTGCCTGAAGCAGAATGAAAGACCTTTCCCCACAATCGGGATGGTGCAGCAGGTGTGAATAAAAGTTGGGTGGCCAGCCATGGCTGTGCCCCAAACCGGTTGGCTCCGGGCCTTAGCA